TTTAATCTCCTCAAAGGGAAACAAGGATCCCTCGTAGGGATCCAACATATTGATGACCTCACAAGACAAATTATTTTAGTGTCTATAGGTTTCTTGTGAATAATAAAATGAGAGACGTCAATGTCAATATTTGAGAGTTAATAACACGAGGAGCCTCATTAAAACCCTCACCCCTTATGAGGTACAAAGGGAAAAAAGTGCGTCCAAAAAAAATTCTTACAAGTAATAAAGATAAAATACTCACCTAATAAAAAATAATAACAAAGTAAATGAACAACTATAAAGTAAAAATGAATCAAGGTGCATTCTCGTTGATGCTTCAATCTTATATCTTCTTTCTCTTCTGAAGGGGAGCCTCTTCACCTTGGAAAGCTTCTTTTGGTGGCCTGACTCCCGAACCAACCTTCTTGTTATTCAAGCCTAAACTTTGAACTCCTTTTAGATTAATACTCTCCACATAAAATTTCCTATAAAATTCATGGCCTTCTTATATGAGTTCAACCTGTTTGTTGGAGAGCGAGTATTTGATGCACAAATACAACGTAGACAAGGTGGCACCCAACTGATTAAAAGTTGACCGCCCTATAATCTTATTATAAGAGGAGGGGTGTCTATAACTAGATACATGGACTTGATCTCCTTGGTTTGTTCTCCCACTCTAAAGTTCTTATTTGATAACTCACATTTTGTGAGTTATTATAGATCTTAACACTTGAGTTTATATTTTTAATTTAGTTTTCTACTAGTTTAATTTAGTGCATTTTACTATTTTTTAGTATATTACAAATAGCACAATATGCGCTCCCATTTTTTAGATTTTATGTGCTTGTTATTGGTGTAGATATGACTTCTGATGAGACCTGGAACAACAATACTGATGCAACATCTTAACCCCAATTAAAGGTGGAGAGCTGGATGCAATAAAGGTCACAAAGAGTACACATTCATAATTTTAGGGCATATGTGGCACCAACCAACAAGATGTAGTGGATTTAAATCAATATCAAAAGGATAAAATCAAGGCGCTAGAGGATAAAACTCAACACTGTAGTATAACCATTGTAGTGCCCGGCTTGCCCCCTTGATGCAAAGATACTTGGGCCACAAGACTGTTGGGTGAGAATATGGATACAAATAAGCCTAAAAGGGGGGGGGGGGGGGGTGAATATGCATATCCTCTAAAAGTCAATTTCAAAAAAAATTAGGTCCCATGAATGAAATCAAATATTTTAAGAAACACGGAAGAAAAACAAAACACTAAGAGAACTTGGAAGCATCTCCATAAATTAAACCAAGTGAAATATTACATGATATCACTAAGGACTTGATTTCTTCTAATGAAAGTCAATTGCAAGACAACCAAAGCCTCTTTAAACAAAGCGATTATAAATATTTTACATAGATATTCACTCGGTATAATTGACTTTATAATAAGCCAATAACATTGATGCATCCCACACCTAAGCTTACACATTAAATATCTATAAGCACGATCCAACCTAAATGCCATAAAAATGATGCAATAATGAACTAACACAATAACGATATTAATGAATGCTAGAAAATTAAAAGAGGCAAGGGAAGAAGGAAAATATAGAGATTTATAGTGGTTTAACGTTCGCCCTCCACTGTTCAATGGTGTTAAAGAACCATTGGGAAATAATCACAAACTTTCACTTTTTTTAATAAGTTTGATACAAGCATTTTGATTACATGAACTATCACACGATAATTCTCGCTATTGATGCAGACACTCAAACTTCTAACACATCGCAAATTCAAACACAGACAAACACCTTAACCATATCAAGTCGCAAGGGAAGACCTCAACCACACCAAATTACAAATTAAAAATCATGCATTAAATCCAACAAAAAAAATGCAAAACTGACATATGAGTCATCACGAACACAAAACACCAATCAACATGCATTAATCAACAACAAAAGTGGTAGAAATTGAAAATTCAAGATAAAACCTAAGTTGATTCAATCCGTTCATTCTTGATGTTTTCAACTGAGATTAATTACGGAAGCATGATTAGATTAGTATTGCGAGCATTTCTGGATCAAGTGCTGATTGAAACAAGTGCGTATGCAGATTTATGGGTTGGAACTCATGAATATTCATGCGCTTAAGAACCCTAGATTTCCAGATCCTTTCAAATTAGTGTGACTTTTTGAAATTGTTTGAGGGATATGATGCATGGGAAATGCAGAAAGGCAATGGTGTCAAGAAATCACGCAATTGACAAGTATCAATGTTTACCTGAATAAAATAGATCAAGAACACGATGAATGCCAAAGAGTTTTCTGACCAGCAATTTCAGATTCTGATGATGCTCTGATCTGGTTCCAACAAGGCTTGTGTTCCACTTTTCTCTGCAGATTTGGACTGCTTGTGATCTCATCTACCTCTTCTTCCAAAAGTAATTTGAATTGAATGAATTTTCCAAAATTTGAGTTCAAATTCAATCTGACTTTTGAAGGTGATTGGGATTTTTTTTGCAGGTTTTTGCATGTGGAATGACATTGAATGAAGATAAAAAGGATTAGGGTGGAGATCGTGTAAGATTTGAAGTTTTTTTTGTGCAACTTTTCAAGGTTTCTTCAAGATGAAGAAACTTGAAATTGGGAGATGAATGTGATGCAGGGGTTTATCTAGGATTAGTACTGATTGTCTCTTTTCTTTTGCTGATAGAAATGGCTTGATTTATAGGCTTAGAAATTAGGCTAAAGGTTAGTCTAGAGATCATGTAAAAATGCATAAAGTGTGGTCAAAATTTGAATGTAATTTGAAATTAATTTGAATTTAAATTGAAATTGGTTTGAATTGCATTCTTAATTTTGCTGATACATGTGCAATTGATTAGATATTGGATGATGTATGGATGTATGATCATGCAAAGATAGTTATGCAAAACAAGTGTGATTCAATTTTGTCCTTTAATGCCAAAATCTTGACGTTTGTTGACTTTTACTTAATGATGCATGATAATTATTATGTAATGATATATGGAATAATGTGATGATGATTAAATCAGAGTTGGATTGGATTTTTTCTCATTGAATTTACTATTTTTGGTCTTTATGAGCATGATGCAAAATGAATAATGATGCATTAAAATGAATGAAGCACTTTGGTCAACTTCGCATTTATTTTTGTTGACTTTTTAACCTTGACTGATGCAAGATAAATTTGATGAGTGAGATGAATAAATTTGGAATGATGCACATGAACACCATGAAATTATTCAAATGAACCAAATATTGACTTTTGGTTGACTTTGATCCTTATTGCATGAAAATGTAATCTAATGTCAATGATGAATATGGGATGATAATGAAATGTGGTAAGGGAACAAAATCAATTGATAAATGAAACCATAACTAAGGGACCTCCCCTTTTAGCATCAGATAAAATTCAATTGCCCACAGCCAATGAGATGAAAAAAACTCTGGACAAAATTAGGGTATGACAAAAAGCAACACTTCAGAAGGTTGTAACATTATCAACCACTGAAGCTGGGTATATTTCTCTCACTGAAGCTATTAAAGAAGCATTATGGCCTGAAGGGTTTTCTAAAGAGCTAAATCTTCAAGGTCAAGTTATCACTGTTAAACGTGATAGTCAAAGTGTCGTACATCTGTCGAAGAATTCAACCTATCATGAGAGAACCAAGCAACACATTACTGTTAGGCTACATTTCGTCATGGATAAAATCGAAAGTGAATAAATAAAAGTGATGAAGGTTTCGATTGATCACAATGCTGCAGATATGATCAACAAGTTATTGCCAAACAACAAGTTCTTCGACTGTATGCAATTGATAAAGCTACATGATGAAAACTACTTTGTTCCCTTCATGTTGTATAGTTTGTTTCAAGGTGGGAATTTGTGGTATTTGGATTGAACTCTAGTCTCAAAAAAGGTATATTCATAGTTCAACAGAGTAGTGCATGTTGTTGTCGAAGTCTGTTCTAGCATGCAGTAGTCGAAGAGTAATGTATTGTACTCGAAGCTTGTTCTAGCATGTAGTTGTATAAGTTAGTTTGTTGTTTAAGTTAGCTTAGTGTCTAAGTTAGCTATGTATGTCATGTATGTATGTGTTATATCATACATAACTAGTAGTCTATAAATATGATGATCTCTTAGGTTGTTGAGAGATGTTGAGGTTGATTGTTATTATGTAATACTTGTAATCATAAACCCTAATGATAAAGTAAAGATAACAGTTTTGACCAATCCTATTCTTCTTCTTCTTCCATCTTCTCTCCCCTTTATTAATTGAATCGTTTCTTAGTCAATCAAAAAACTCTCTTTCTCACAAAACTACATCGTTATTGGTATAACACATTTATATAATTTAAACCATTGATTCAATATAATTAAATTTCAATATAAATCACCAATTTTTTTTTTACAAGTACAAGACACTATATATGTCGGGTGTGGATCCTCTCCGGTGATATTTTCACTAGAGGAAGTTCAGTGGCAATCTCACCCATTCACTTTTTTAATTAATAATTTTATTGCCACACTGAAAAAAAAATTCATTGGCTCATACTTCAATGAACTTATTTTTCATGGGAGAGAATCTCTTCCCATATATGTCCATGAAACATTATGATGATATGACAAAGTTGCTTTGGAAGATGAGAGTTGGAATGATTCACCACTTGTTAAAAAAAGATGAATGTCGTAGAAACTATTTAGTGTTACTTTGTCTTAACATTTGAGTTTTTTAGTTTGGATGGTTTTTATGTGATTGATGTTGAAGCAAAGAATATGAATCTTCTTGTAACTTGATTTTTGGAAAGTACTAATCATTTTCCAATATATTCAATTGTCTAATATTACAACAAGTTCTGCACTTACATAACACTAATACAATGAAAATAGAAATAAAAGGATAAATTGGACATTTTGACTTGTTAAATAGAAAATAAATAAATATGGCATATCATTAGACACTTGAAGAAAAACAAAACAAGTCACAAATGGTTGCAACAAAACTGATACTGACATTCATGAAAAACTTTTCAACCTTAAAACAAGCAAAACAAATCCATGCACAAATCATAACCAACGACCTTACCCGTCTTGAACCCCTCTTCATTCATCGCATTCTTCTCTGTGATATCACCAACCACAAAACCATATCACCCTACATCCTCTCAATTCTTCACCATCTTCGAGACCCAGATTCCTTCTCATGGGGTTGCGTCATTCGATTCTTCTCTCAAAAGGGTCAATTCATTGAAGCTGTTTCGCTCTATATTCAAATGAGGAAGGTTGGGCTTTGTCCAAACTCACACGCTGTATCCTCTGTTCTTAAGTCATGTGCTAAGGTTGAAGATGATTTGTGTGGTGTGTCGGTTCATGGGGATGTTCAGAAAATTGGATTTAGTAGGTGTGTTTATGTACAAACGGCGCTTCTTGATTTGTACTGTAAAAATGGTGATGTTTTGACTGCGCGTAAGGTGTTTGATGAAATGGCTGAGAGAAATGTTGTTTCTTGGAATTCTTTGTTAGTTGGGTATATAAAAGGTGGTAACTTGGATGAGGCTCGGTGTTTTTTTGATGAGATTCCTAAGAAAGATGTTATTTCTTGGAACTCTATGGTTTCTGGATACGCGAAAGGAGGAAAAATGGAGCAGGCTTGTTATTTGTTTCGACAAATGCCGGAGAGAAGTATTGTTTCCTGGAATACGATGATTTCTGGTTACGTTGATTGTGGGAGCATTAGGTTGGCTAGAGAATTTTTTGATGTTATGCCGAAGAGAAACAGTGTTTCTTTGATAACTATGATTGCTGGGTATTCCAAGAGTGGTGAGGTTGACTCTGCTCGTGAGATCTTTGATAGGATGGATGATAAGGATTTGTGGTCATATAATGCTATGATAGCTTGCTATGCTCAAAATAGCAAACCAAAAGAAGCCCTTGACCTATTTAATGGCATGCTTAAACCAGAAATCGGTTTACATCCGGACAAGATGACTTTGGGTAGTGTTATATCAGCTTGTTCACAATTGGGGAATCTAGATCAGTGGCTCTGGATTGAGACACACATGAATGACTATGGAGTTGTATTGGATGATCATTTGACCACTGCGTTAATTGACTTGTATGCAAAGTGTGGGAGCATTGACAAGGCATGTGAGCTATTCCATGGGCTGAGAAAGAGGGATGTGGTTGCATATTCTGCAATGATCTATGGATGTGGCGTAAATGGAAAGGTGTCCGATGCAGTCGATTTATTTGAACAGATGGTTGGAGAGTGTATTGACCCTAATTTGGCCACGTACACAGGAATTCTGACTGCCTATAATCATGCAGGTTTGGTTGAGGAAGGTTACCGGAGCTTTAACTCCATGAAGGACAACGGCCTTGCTCCTTCGGTTGATCATTATGGAATCATGGTTGATCTTTTGGGGAGGGCCGGATGGCTGGATGAAGCGTATAAGCTTATAATGAATATGCCAATGCAACCAAATGCTGGTGTGTGGGGAGCTCTACTTCTTGCCTGCAGATTGCATGGCAATGTGAAGCTTGGGGAAATAGCTGCTCAGCATTGCATTAAGCTGGAGAGTGAAACAGCTGGCTACTATTCTCTTCTTTCTGGTATATATGCCACTATTGGAAAATGGAATGATGCCAAAAAGTTGACGACAGGTGTGGAAGGAAAAAAAATTATCAAGATACCTGGATGTAGTTGGACACAACTTGAGTGATGCGTGTGACTCAAGTGATTAAACTCAGTGATTGGGAAAATAAAGCTCATAAAATATCCCTATAACTAGGGCTCTATTATTCTGCTTTCAATATGTGCATGACATATTTTGAGGGATTGAAGTGTGAGGAAGCTGGAAAGTAGTTGGCCTGTGGTTCAGAGTCATGATAGTTCAGTATGTTTGAGGGATCTGCAGCTCTTGGTTCTACAACCACAGGCTCATCCTTTCTTCCGCAGCCACTTCTTACCCTTTCACTCACTCTGACATAAGTAAAATATTATATCAATACAAGAGTATTCTTGTATCTAAGATTTCCATGATTGATGCAGAAATGAAGCAATCCAAGAAAGGACAAAGATGGTAATTTATAAATGGTAATGAAGCCTTTTTCACAAGAATATTAGATTCCCATGGAGTTATTAATCAAGATACTTTAAACCCTTGGTGTGGATGTTACGCCTGCAATTATCTTGGACGACAGGTAATCTTTGAATATCTCTAAAAAAGCAGTATTATCCATGTGAGTCTTGTTGCTACTGAAAGTTTGTAGCAGCACGAACTGAGAAGCAGCTTTTATCATCCCAGCGGTGGGGATGGGGGATGTTGACTCTGCTTAGAATGGTCTTTCATCAGAACAATGTAACATTTTTATCAAATGATGATTAAAGATTAAACAAATCTCTAAGCTTAGTAAGAATTTTGGGTTGACTGTGAGGACACAAACAAGTGGGGAGGCTAAAAACCTTTAGACCCCAGATACGGGAGCTTGGGCAAAAGTGTCTCTGCAAGTTAGTTCAGGTTTTATGGATGTGTGAAAAAGGATGAACTTGGAAACAATAAGGCTTGTTGATAAGGCAGTTTTCAGTCAAAGATTGTTCTTTTCAGGCCCTCTGCTCTAATGGTGGATTAATCAAGGGTAAAGTAGTTACAAATGTAACAAAAATTATGTGATATTTCTAACTGTAGCAATAAACTTTTATGGACGCCATAGATTCTTTCATTCATCTCTCACCAATTACATTTCTTTTTTGCTGGATTTCATTTGATATATTTATATCTTTCTTATGGAATGAGTATATTTTTTTAACAATGTCTTCAATTTGAATCAGTATATTAATACAGTCCTTTATCACAGGATCCATTGCAGCTATGTGTAACTTCTTATTTATGTAGTTAACCACCGTCTCCACATCAGTATCATTTATAGACTCAAACTATAGTAATGAGATTCTTGGGTTTTTTAATTTGGTTTAAAATGATTGTGGCACCAGTTTTTCTGCACACTGCTAAAGAAAATCTAGCATCACAAACTATACAGATATACAACTCAGATGCAAAAGGAAGCTTAAATCAAGCACTCTGTCACAAACCATCCACATTCCACAATGCTGATCAAATCAAACTGTTCATATCAACAGTTTAGAATCCACACAAAAAATGTAGCACACAAGCAACAAATTACAGCTCAGAAAAATGTGGTCCCATTAAATGCAAGCAAACTATAATTGCTCATTGCTTAATACCCTGAGTTTCCACCGAGCAAAATGCGAAAAATGACTCTGAGATTTAGTCTACATGAGCACAAAATGCCATGGAAAACATAGCACGGAAAGAATGATAAATAGGGTCCGTGAGAATCTAATTAATTAAAATTCAAATATCCCTCAATAACAACACTTTGAGCAGATGCCATGGGGCGTAAATTTTCCACTTTTACTCCTTGATCTAAGTTCTTGAATGGCGACAAAGGATCATTCTGATTACATCCATTCCAAAGTGGCAAAATTTCTGTCACAAATTTATTGATATACTTCTTCTTAATACCCTCCTTAACAAGCTCTTGATATTCACTGAAATTCCCTCTCATATCTAACAGAACACTGCACAATCCTTGATGATTACAATAATCCAAGATCACGTCAAGATTTATTTGATCCACAGATACAGTTTTAATTCCCTGTTGAGTCTCTTCAGGAGGTGTTGTTATACAATCTGTAAAGATTATCATTTTATCAGTAACGTTATCGATGATAAATGGAATTTGATTTGAAGAACCAGAACCAGAATCTCTATGCATTATAAACCGAATGGGTTGATTGGCTCCAGGTTCTTGAGATGAAGGTACGGAGTCGACCGATATAGTTTCACGGAATAAAGAAGAGGATAATATAACTGCATCATATTCTTGTAATAGCCTAGAATAGTATCCACCAGAGTGAGTTACTCCATTCCCAAGTGAGTCCAACAAGTTTCCGTTGACAGAAAGAGAATACCTGTAATGCAGAAATAGCTCCAAATGAATGTTTAGAGAAAAGCAAGTTGGAGTATATGTGTAAAAATAGAGATGAAAATGAATTACCTCAAAGTAAGCAGAGGCTTCTGGGTCAACATGTGATGAATATAACCCTCATTGAGGCCCTTACACAATTCTTCCTCAACACCAACAACAACTTCAATTCCAGCACCTCTCAATCTATCTAAACCTTTGGAAGCCACGATAGGATTTGGATCCACCATCCCAACAACAACCTTTTTAAGTCTAGCTTTAATGAGAGCTTCAGTGCAAGGCGGAGTCCTCCCAAAATGATTACAAGGTTCTAAAGTGACATAGGCCGTTGCATTCTCGGCCAAATCAGCAGCATCTCTGAGAGCAAACACCTGAAAAATCTCAGAAATAGAAATGCAGTGACACGAAAATGATGATTTGAATTCAAAGAGTGTGAAACAAGTCTCACCTCAGCATGAGGTTGACCAGGTTTAGGATGAAAACCTTGGCCAACAATTTGACCATCTTTGACAATAACACATCCAACTAAAGGATTGGGGCTTGTACACCCCAAAGCCTTTCTGGCGAGCTCAACGCTTTTCCTCATGTAAAATCCATCGACATCACCATCATCGTCACGATTCTTTTGGGAACGAATGACATGGCTACTCTTCCCACGAGTTAGTCTGTCCCTGAATGTAAGTGATTTGGAAAAGCCATGATTCAAATTGAGGGGAATGGGTGGATGAGGAGAGGCATTATTCATGCATAATCTGGAATGGTAAAATGGAACTGAAACTGGAACTGATAACCCCATTGCTTGCATGGTTGGAATGATGCGAAATGTGATTTGGTTTGGGACTCCGATTCACAAACAAGCCTCTGTGAAAGAGTGATGGAAAGGGCAGAGATTTAAGAGGAACAGAACAGCGTCAGCAACGTGATCCGCGCCAATTTGTTTTTTCCTTTTCACGCACAGTATCCCAAGACGATGAATAAGTTGTCTTTTTGCTTATTTTTTCATCGCATGAAACACATGAAATATCATCTCATAGTATTTTAATATTATCAATAGTTATTTTTTTGTGTTTATTGTCATTTTTCTTAAATTAACTGAGTTGGCCCATGTTGTTAGATCTAATAGCATGTGATTGGTTGTTGAGAAAAATGAATATGTACCAATTAGGGATGATAAAACGGGCATCGGCCCCGTCTGGTCCCATTTTAAGCCCGCTAAAAAAATGGGGCGGACATGTCCGCCAAGTTCAAATAGACATAAAATATTAGCTTTCTCCGCTAAAGTGACGGTTGGCGGGCGACAGACTTCCCGTTACTTTTTAATTTATTTATTTTTCATTTTTTTAATATATTAAAAAAAATATTTACATTTCAATTAGATTTTTGAAATTCAACAATACGCTATGGAACAGACTAGCTCGCCCATGGAAGGTTGACTTTTGACCAAAACCTATCCTAGGCATGATTATGATTTTCACGCTATGGTTCATTCAAGTTTACAAATTGGAGAAGATTTGGCACCGCAAATTTATCACTTGAATCAAATTAGCCTAATAAAAAATTTGAAGTTTGAATTTAAGCATATGAAGGAAAGGAAGAACAACTCAAGTTTTATTGGAGGAAAAGAGATTCATTACATTTCATTCAAAGGAAAACAATCACATTCAAGGTCAAATCTATATACCAGAGTAAAAAAATATTACAAAAATGAGATACATTGAAAAATTACAAGAAAAACGCCACAGTTGATTTTTAGGTCAACAATTGACTTTGTGGTCAACTTTTGACCATTGACTAAGACCTTTGGCTATTCCTAACCTCTTCCTAAAAGACTTATTTTCTTTTAATCTCCAGCTTCATCATGTTATCAAGGATCAAAACATCCATGTATGTCAAAGTGACATCATTTTTCTTGCTCATGATAAATGTAACATATGTCATGTAACACATACAACTCTTTAGGCGGAATAGTAATACTAATAAACATCAACATGTCTAACTTCATTTTTGTTGCAGGGGAAAGTATCAATAAATTATTCAATTATTTATTGAAAACAAATTAAGTTATAACATATTATAAATAATGTCAACATGAGAGATATCATAAAATCTCCAACAAACAAAATAAAACAATCAAATGTTCGACCCTAAGTCTTACATATCAGAGCAGACGTCGACTCGGTAAAAGCATAATGAAGAGCACTCTCTTCTACTCACATCCATATCTTCACTAAGAATCACATGCGCATTATCCACGTGGAGGCAACATTCAAACAAAAGGGGTGTGATATGAAGAAAGAACGGATCACAAAGATGTATCAAGACTTGAAGAAGTTTTTTTGGTGGCCTGGTATGAAGAAAGAAGTTGCCAAATTTGTTTATGCTTGTTTCACTTGTCAGAAATTGAAGATTGAGCATCAGAAGCCTTTGGGTCTAATGCAACCATTGAACATTATGCAATGGAAATGAGACATTATTTCTATAGATTTTGTGTCAGAATTATTGAAGACTGCTAAGAGTAATGATTCGATTTGGGTGATCGTGAATAGGTTGACTAAGTCGGCTCATTTCTTACCGATGAAAATCAATCATCCTATAGAGAAACTAGTTGAGATGTATATTGAAGAGATTATGAGATTGCATGACATACCTTCGAGTATCGTATCAGATAGAGATATGAGGTTTACATAGAAGTTCTGGGAAGGTTTGCATAATGCTTTTGGTACTAAGTTGAGGTTGAGTTCCACATATCATCCACAAACGGGCAGTCATACAGAGAGGACTATTCAGTGTTTAAAGGATTTACTGAGAGCTTGTGTGTTGAAATAAAGAGGTGCTTGGGATAGCCACTTTCCATTGATTGAGTTTACATACAATAGTATTTTTCATGCAAGTATTATTAAGGAACCGTATGAAGTGTTATACGGTAGAAGGTGTAGAACTCTATTGTGTTGGTATGAGTCAGGAAAGAGTGTTATGCTCGGACCTGAGTTGTGCAGGAGAAGACTGAAAAGATTAAGATGATTCAAGAGAGGATGAAAGCTTCTCAGAGTCCTCAGAAGAGTTATCATGACAAGAGGAGAAAGACACTTGAATTTCTAAAAATATGATCATGTATTTTTGAGAGTTACTCCAGTGGCTGGTGTTGGTAGAACTTTGAAGTTGAGAAAACTTACGCCATGTTTTGTTGGTCTATATCAGATTTCATAGAAGATAGGTGAGGTGGCATATCAGATTACTTTTACACCGTCATTTGTGAATCTTCATGACGTGTTTCATGTGTCTCAACTGAGGAGGTATATTCTGGATCCTTCACATGTGATCCAAATGGACGATGTACATATGAGAGATAGTCTGACTATTAAAGCATCACCCGTGCGGATAGAAGGATGGGAAGTGAAGAAATTGTGGGGTAAAGACATCACCTTAGTGAAGGTATTGTAGGGTGGACCAGCTATTGATAGTTGGACATGGGAACGCAAGGATCAGATGAGAGAGTCTTATCTGATTTTGTTTCTGCCAGGTAATTTTTAAGGGCGAAAATTCTTTCAAGTGGAAGAGAGTTGTAACACCCTAAAATAATTAGATTATTTATTTAATTATTTAATAAATTTATGATCATTACTAGTGAAATATTTGTGAGTATAAATGATATCTTGATGACTTATATGATGCATTGTGATGTTCGTCGATACTCTGTTGGGGTAGTAGTGAGTTAAGGAGATAATGTGAGATATTTAGAATTTAAATAATTAGTTCGGAATTATTTATATTTAATAATAATTAGTTAGAATTATTTTATTGATTAAATGGAATAAAATTGGGGTAGAAATAATAAGGGCAAAGAAGTAATTGGTGAAGTGATAAGTGAGGATAATATAGGAAGACCATAGAAAGGGTCCAAGGGTTAAACAAGGAAAAGTGAGTGTTAATGTTCATTTTGTGCAACCGTGAAAAGAGAAGAACACCGTGAAGAACTAGGGCACAGAGAGAAATATATATATATATATATATATATATATATATATATATATATATATATATATATATATATATATATATATATATATATATATATATATATATATATATATATATATATATATATATATATATATATATATATATATATATATATATATATATATATATATATATATATATATATATATATATATATATATATATATATACAGAGAGAGAGAGAGAGAGAGAGAGGAGAGAGAGAGAGAGAGAGAGAGAGAGAGAGAGAGAGAGAGAGAGAGAGAGAGAGAGAGAGAGAGAGAGAGAGAGAGAGCCATCTGTAGAGCTTGTGACAAGAATCGATTGTTAGGGATCTAAGGTAAGGGGAGTTTATCATTGTTATTATAAATGATATAGGGCTTAGATAATTGTAGATTTGTGTGGGATTTTGGTTGATGTTGTTAATATGATGATTTGATGATAAATGATGAAATTATGATATTGTTTTGCAATAAATCGATGCATACGATGTATAAAAGAATGAATTGTTAATGTATGATTAAAACATGAGTATTTATGGTGATTTAGAACCTATTCTATGTTGGAATCGCAAGAAATTGAGAGTGGTATAGTGCAAAAAAGGCACAGGAGAATTCCTATTCGCGTTGCATCACCGGACGAGCATACTTCTTCACCGGGCGAAGGAACTTCACCCTTGACGCTCTGGGAGAGACAAACTCAAAGGTCCTAGGGAAACACAGAGCCCTGTAATTTGTATGGATGTGGTTGACTCACCCAAGCTTCATCGAGAGAAGGGGAGGCGAAAGGATCTCGTCGGTCGAGCGAATAGCTTCACCGGACGAAGGAAGCGAAAGAAAAATAAGCTCTTGGATTTTTGTATGGGGGAAGGATTTTCACCCCGTCCTTGCTGAGAGAGCCTTAGGTGAGCAACCTACTTCGCCGGGTGAGACTCAGGCGAGGGACAATAGGCAGAATTTTGAAAGTGGCGTAACATTAATTTCAGGACTCCGTTTGACGCATTATTTGAAGTGTTAGGAAGCTAATGAGATAAACTATAAGTGTGTAGGATGAAAATAATCCTATGATGTGTTTTATAATTATTATATCTTAATGCATATGATGATTCTGTGATTGGTTTATTATGATGTATGTGTATATAATGAATTGTTGTTGCTATGATGATGCCATGTTGTATTATGAAGTAAATAATCTTGTTGTGATGAATGAAGTCGTGATTGCATGTTTGATGTGCATACATGCCGTGTGAATATAATTATACAATGATTATATGAATGATAATGCGTTTTGACTAACAGTGGTCGTGTTTTATTATATTATTGCGCATCATGTATTCATGGCATATGTTAGGACTTCAGTCCAGTGAGGTTGTTAGGACGACTGGTCCAATGATGGTGATAGGATGTTGGTCCAATGATGGCCTTAATCCTGTAGTATATATTGAGTGTAATATTATGATGTGCTCTAGTTCCAAGCGGGAATCGATCCTATTGGTGAGGATCTTTGGAGAAACGATAACTGAGTCATCAGTGAAGTTTTTGTATCACATGCATGAGTCTAATGAAGTTGCATTTCATTCTTTGTGGTATTGCATAATGATTGATTTAAGTGATGCTTTTTCAATGTGTTAACTAATGATGTTTATGATTGTTGACCGATGATATGATGATGCTATAAATGAATACTGAAGTCAAGGTATGAGTATAACATGAAATTTTGATGATGTGTGGTTTCTTGCTAATATGTTATAACTACTATATTTATTCCCAATGTATTTTATAATGATTATAATTACTCACCCTTTCT